ACTCCCCCATCTTTGTTTTTATGAGCTCAACCTGCTTCATCTGTCTGTCTCACCAAAAGAGAGAGAGAAAAAGTAGTAAATTCAAAGCAGCAAGTGTGTTTATTAGTTGTTTACAAACTATGAATATTAATGAATATTAAAATGATTGTGCTGATTATATATATCAGCTTTAAAGTTAATGATGTTCCTTTGGTGTCCTCTAGTGTCTGTTGCTGCTTTGTGCTGCCTGGTGTCAGATTAGTGCTCCTGAATGCTCCTGAATGCTCTAACGGTTTTGTTTTAGGTCCTTACAAATACATAAGGCAGGTAGCTCAGGTGGTAGAGCAGGTCAGCTGCTGATTGGATGGTTAGTGGTTTGATCCCTGGCTCCCCCCGAATACTACAGATACAAGATAATAACCCCAGTTTGCTCTGCGATGCATCCGTGTGAATGTTAACTAAACAGCACTACAGTAGAAGAAAGTGCTTGTATGATTGGGTGAATGAGGCATGTTGTAGACAGTGTTTTGAGTACTCCTGGAGAGTAGAAAAGCGCTGTATAAGAATGAGTCCATTTACCATAAGGCCAGCCAAAGAAGAAGTTAGTCACAAAACACTGAGCCATTAGTAAATCCAGCAGATTTTTAACATCCAAAGAAGGATTTCTGCTGCTGGAGACGTTAATCTCTCCCTAAATGTTCTTTTTCTAAAAACATTTCACAGACTGTTCTTGTTTATTTGACCTCCATAAAAAATGGGGTTAGGACATGTGGTAGCACTGTAAGATGTGCATTTTGTAGTCCAGTTCCTGCATATTGTAGTTTCAACACTGCAGACATCCATCATCATATTTAACAGAGACGAGTGTAAGCTTGGTCCAGTTCTCAGCACACAGCTCTTCTGTTTCCTAAGTCCTTATCTACTCTCCTACTCACTTTTCCTTGACCTCCATGAAAACGTCATCGAGGTCAAATAAAACATACATATAATTTACAGTATTTTATATATAAATATAACTGTTCACTGGTTAGGGTTACAGTTAGAGTGTGGAGGCAGGACATCACAGTACAAGCATACTCCCAACCTATTAACATTATAAGATTGTGTTTACATAATTATACATAATATATCTTTTATTTGTTATGTTTACAAACAACGAGAAGTCACAAACAAGCAGAGACCACAGCCCGGTGCATGTAAGTTTAAACAAGGAAGGTTTATTTAGCAAATAAACATTATTTTTTCACATGTGCAAAGCTCCACAGCGGAAGCACAGACTCGTCTCATAGAGTGGCCATCATAACAAAGCACTTCATT